ATATGGCTTTTGAAATCAAAAATAGTTAAATTAGTGGTGCTACTATATGTAATATTTTCTATGTGCTTTTTACCGATGCAACTTATGGCATATATTTTAGCAACTGAAATAATAACGTCACCAGTAAATTTGATGTCAAAAGCTATTCCGAGAACTTATGGTAACTTTTTTTTTTTCTTCACCTTTTTTTTTTTTTTTTTTTATTTTTATTTTTTTTGTTTTTTTTTTTATTTTTTTTTTTAATAATTATTGACGTTGTTTATAATGTTGAGGTTCACAGAAACGAACTCAATTTCTCCGATATCAGCGATGAAACACACCATTCGATTTTCAAAAATGCACAGTTACTCTCCACAATCATTGACTGATCATATATATCCTTATTACTTTCGTGCAATGCTTGAGCCTGATAATCCTGATGTTACTGTTGCTGCTTACATCACACCAGATCGATTGGATGATTTAGTAAGATTGGCTGATATGTGGAAAGGTACGTTTTTATATTTTTTTTATGTATGTTTTTAAAGATTTTTAAAAGATACCGTAGTGCACTGACCAAAGTACATATATGCGATGTAGAAATCAATATGTGGTGGTATCAAAAAAATTTCATGCAAAGTACCCGGGTATTAAAAAAAAAATATGCCATGTAAAATACCCGGATATTTTAATCGGAGGCACTGAAAATGGGGATGCTTTGGTCAGTGCACTACGGTAATTTTTTTAAATCATTAATATTTTTTCTTGAAAATCAATTTTTTTTTTTTTTTTTTAAAAAAAATCATTAAATTTTTAAATCATTAAAATTTTTCTTGAAAATCCATTTTTTTTTTTTTTAAATCATTAAAAAATTTTTCTTGAAAATCATTTTGGCCATATATATATATATATATATGTTTAAATCCTATTGTATCTGATCGAACTAAGATGAAGAACTAACATGACAGGAGTACAGAAATCCTGCGTGCTTTTTTTTTTGACGTGAATTACTTCAGGGTAGCTGAAGTTGAAAGAAAATGAAATGGGCATACGACAAAAACAAAGCTTTGAAACCCACAAAAACATGGTAAATAATTATATATATATATATATATATATATAT